TAATCTAATAGTAAACCGTGATTGCAGATGGGAACTTCAATGAGACCGACTATATTCAACGATAGGGTAGCCAATGCACTGAAGAAATGGCACCACACGGCCAAGAAACAAACGAAACATGGACATTCAGGGTCTAACACACCTCAATCGAGCCGCCCCGCCACGCCAACACATGGCATGTCACCGGTGCATCTTCTCCATAACTACCGCAGCGACCATCAAAACAGCTTCACTGCCTCTCCTTCTCCTCCTAGATTCTCTGATTATGGCGGCCAAGGCAATAGCCATCACCATTTCTACGATCCTGAATCTCAGAATCTCTCTTCCCACGTCCGTGAGATCACAGATTCTGAAAACAGCAATAGTCGTCATCCCCAAGTTGACAGGGCAAGTCCTGCTAGAGAAGAGAGAGATATAGTTGAGCATGTCAAGGTTGGTATGCCGGAGTTTACGTTCAAGAAATGATAGGACTTTCTATATTTAATTAGTGTTCATTCTTTTGTAAATCATATAAATTTGGGAATGAACACTTCTCTTTTTTTTTTTTTAATGCTTATTTTAATGAATTTATCTGTAACCTCCAAGGTCAAAAACGCTTTATGATGTCTTATCATATTAGCAGACACATGTCTCATCAAATTAATTAAATGATTATCTTAAAGCACCACAAATTGAGACTGGCTTCTGTTAAGATATCATTTTAGTTGACAAGTCTGTCTTCTTGAAACAGAAGCAAAATGATGTTGATGTCTCAGATATTATGCTTGTAATAGTTATATGTAGTCATAATCATTACAACTGAGACACTAATTGTCTGATAGTATTAATTATGGAGCAATCTATATACACTAAACTCTTGACTCTTTCTATGAAACCCCTTCCCTTGGGGCTTGATAATATACGTTAAAATCTTGTTCAGGTACGAAGTGCGACTGGAGCAGACAGAGATAAGTAATTGATGTAACCTTCAGAGACCGAGATCACAAACCGATGGCAAGCAAGAGCAGTGGTGGTGAGAAACATGACAAAGGAAGTCCAGCCGAATCTGAGCATCAAAACTCGGTCACTCTTTGCAGATTCCAGTATCTTCCTCAGTATCACTCTAACACGTTTGTCTCTGATTAAAATCTTGAAATCTTTCACTGTAATGTTGGTCCCTGGAGATGGTGGTGGGTCTGAAAGAGAAATGAATTTAAGGGATTTGATTCCGAAGATTCCGACCATCCACTGGTACATTGTATCTGCAATTGTTCTGCAAAGTTTCTGGCGGATGACATGTGCCTCTCTTGAAATAAATGTCCGGATCAGCGAAGTTCCGTTCTGTTTTATCAAAGCAGAGAACCATACCAAGTTCAATACTTAAAAAACATTTTCCTCAGAAATCAGACAAATTGACTTAAACCACAAGTGAAAGCAAACATAAGCATAGATGGATCATTATAATAACAACCAGAAAGGCAACTTATTCCCTGTTTAAGTGTTTATTATGTTAAAGACTAATTTATAACTCGAGAAAAAAAAAAAACTGGTAAAATGACGGGAAGAATAGCATTTAAAATGTAGAAACTAACCGCAGCCATCAAGAGTCTTCTAAGAACCACACCATCTTTGGATGCCAATAGCCTCAAGACCACACCTACAGTGTCAGCATCTCTGTCCATTTGATTGGAAGTGCTATCACCAGGAGTTTCATCCCTCGTTGATGATACCAGTGGCAAACGTTTCCTAGAGTAAATATCAAAAAACTTAATATAGAGAGACCACAAATACAGAATAGCAGTCAATGAACTAAACAAGACATGATTTTCCCTTTTATTATAATCCAATATCTACTCATTCTCAAACAAAGCTACTTCAGAGCCTAATAATTGCTCTTTGTTCAAACCCCTGTGATTAAAGTAATTAAACTTCATAGGCTCGCAACTCGGAATTCTATCTGGCTCTTCTGCAATTAGTTAACTATGATTCTCTGTTGATGACGTCAAGAAAGTACTTACAAGAGACACTAAAATTCTCATTTTTCCGAAATACCTACTAGACCTCTTTATGCAGCAGAGCTATAAGATTCTAGACATATCAAATGTTTAGGGTCAAATGTCTGTTCACTATACCTCGTAGAACTTTTACCCAGGAAAAGAGCAACCCTTTCCCACCGGAATTCCTTCTTTCGGTTAAGAACTGCCTGCAGACAGCAATAGAAGTTTAGAAATTTATCCGTCTACCTAAGAGATATATTCTTTCACTTCGAGCGAATGAATGGACAGTGAATATCAACAAGTATAAATTCCAGATAGGATATGTAACAGAATTATCAGATGTACTACTAATGATATAAAGTCAATTTTTCTCTGCCATTTCAGTTTTATGAAAGATCAAAACAGAGTCTCTATCTTATGTTGCTGTGACTCTAAGAAGTCGCTTAAATGGTACTAAAAACTGTACCGAATGAAGAATTTTCCTTGTTGCAGCTGAATTTTCAGAGAGGAGTTTTTGAACCACGAAAGGGTATGCCGCCTCAAATGTCTTAAAATTTGGATCCCCAGCTGCAGCTAGACCTGGGAAGACATAAATAGAACACTGATAACTAATGAATGGCAAAAAAAAACTCACTGAATGAATATAAACCAACAAAAAGCATGATATCAAATGTGAAGTTACGGAAACCAAGCATGGCTGGAAAGAAATGAAAAATCAAGTTGTCTGACTATACTGTCATCCAAATTCACTTCCTGGATAGCATTCAGCGTTTCTATATCACAGCCATATAACAAACAGGCACGAGGTTAAAAAAAAATATAATCAAACATTGACCATACATAAGACATGATCCTTGCAGATGCAGATACTAGCTCAAAAGGCGGATTCTCTCTTGACATATTCAAGACATGATTTGACGGTATCTTCTACCCATGATAATCAAACAAAGAGAAATCAAGGATTCGATTACAAGTACCTTCAAAGCAAGCAAGAGAACGCAGGACAAGTGTGAAGTATGGTGGCATCTGTAGCTGATAGTTCAGGGCCACTTTGACAATTTTACTAAGCACCTTGAGAAAATTAGAAGCATTGCGAACAAATTAGTTAGTCCACTAGTACTCATCCAGAAGATAAGACTGACAATTATAGATCAGTTGCATTTTCCATGTATCCAGTTCCAGTACCCACTAGTACTCATCCACAGTTTTTAAAATGTATGTCTCACCTTGGTGAACTCGATATCAGGAATCCCGTTTTTAAGTTCAACCTCTCCCAACGCATATTCCAGATCCTGTATGAGTTTCAAGAATTATAAGATATGTGGTTAGCAACTTCTTCAAATTTAACATACAAAACATTCAGCTATATTTAGGAAATATACACTACACTATTCAAATTAACAGAAATTATTTATTTACCAAAGTAAAACGACGGGTATTAACGCCTGGCTTGATGACATCCATATCAGTCAACGCTTCAACAAGAAATGCCCAATCACCATTCACAATGTGCACAATTGATGCGAGCATGGCAAGCTGATGTTTTCTTTGCATCCGACAAACTAAACCAAAGTCCAAAAACCTGCACAGAAACACGTGGTTATCAAATCAAGATCATCCTGTCAGACAGAGATTTTCCGAGCAATGCTAATGAATGGTCAAGAGATACCCTATTTGTCTTGATGACGTGTAACGCAAATTTCCAGGATGCGGATCTGCATGCAAAATACCTGTATCAAGGAGTTGAACTAGAGTTGCCTCTACTCCTTTGTTCACCTACAGTTAAAATTATAAAGGAAATCTAAGCCATTCGAACATCATATATTCTAGCAAAATGTATTAACAATAACAATTCTACTTTTTCTTCACTGAGTGCATTGTAGTAGTGTCATAGTAAAACTACAAACAGTCACACGCCTTTACTAATAAACATAAAAATAGAATATCAGGAGGTTGTTATGTCAGTATATGTTAACCTACCAGATCCAGAAGACTTCTTCTCGCTTCGAGTTTTTGTCTCTCCTGACTCTGAAAGTCATGATTAGAGTCACCAGAAGATATTGAGAGTAAATCGGTTGGGCTTTCGCCAACCATCCATTCCATGGTCAAAACTCTTTTGCGCGTTAGATGTTGATACACTTTTGGGACCCGGATATAGGAAAATTGTGAGTGTGCTTCCTTCAAGAAACAAAGTAGTTTAGTCAGTCAGAGGAAACAAGATACTTATTGTTAATCCACCACAAAAATAAGGAAAACATATATTTACTAGCAAGAACGGAGAGCACATTGGGTGGGAAAAACATTACAGCATTTGGACTTTAATTGCAAAAGCTAGATAAACCACAGTTTAACGAATGGACAGATAATGAGCAATTGCATAAGTTAGATAAGCCACAGTTTAACAGATGGATAGGTAATGAGCACATCATACTTAAGGGAGCAAAAGTGACTTCTCTATCAAAAGAAGCAGGAAAAATTAACTTGGTTCCTAACGACATGTTTTATTGGACTGCCCAGTACCCGAAATTCAGAGGCATTGGCAGCCTCTAAAGTAAAGTCCAATTCTCCAGCCAAACCCTTTCCAAGCTCATCAGCATATACACGAATGTCATTTTCTCTCTTTACTATCTTTCGCAGTACACCCAACTGCAACAATGAAAAGAAACATCATATAACTATCACATGATTCAAGCAGGTTGATTTGAAAATACTTGGTAGATTTCACACAAACCCCAAGCCGCAGAATGTAAATGTCGCGTAGCACTGCATGTCTAAGATCAGGACGCTGAACTTTCACTGCAACATCTAAACCATCGAGAGTCTTTCCTCGGTAGACCTAGAAACAGCATATTGAGTATTAGGCTTGCATCCTACATGTTGATTCATATGATGCTTACTTTTTTCAAGATAAAAACCAGAGTAGATACCTGACCGAAGGATGCTGCTGCTACAGTTTCTTGAGAGAACTGGCTAAAGAATGATTCGACAGGAGCACCCAATTCCTCTTCAATGATTTTCACTGCCTCAGGCTGGGGAAAGGGAGGGATTCGGTCATGCAGTTCAGACAGTGCCTGCAAATCATACCCAAGTTAAGAACATGAAACCCAACATAGTCAGAAAGCTGCATCACTAAGAGCAACAAAATGTGGCATGCAGAATGGAGAAAGAGCCCTGGACACATGCATTAGCAAGACATTTATTAACTCTACAAAGTGATACGATTTACAATTAGAAGCTAAGAGAATTAGACATGCGTGAGCATAACTTCTATCTGACCTTGGAGATTTCAGTCCCAAAGATATCTGGCCTTGTGGAAAGGGATTGACCAACTGGACAAGCAAAAGAGAGGGAAGCATCATTCACAACAGAGCAAAGTATCTAATAAATGGCTTCTAATGTAAATGGTAACTGATGGATAGTTTCATAACTTCAAATAATTTGCTACTACCAGACCTTTGATAAAAGTGGGGCCCAAATGTAGCATGGTTT